AACCAGGATCAGAACTAAAACCAGGACCAGGACCAGGATCAGGACTCAAACCAGGACCAGAACATGGATGGGGACTTGGACTGGGATCAGGGTCCAGGATTGGGATCAGGATCAGGATCAGGACTAAAACCAGGACCAGGATCAGGACTAAAACCAGGACCAGGATCAGGACTAAAACCAGGACCAGGATCAAAACCTGGATGAGGATTTGGATCTGGATCAGGGTCAAGGACTGGGATCAAGATCAGGATCAGGACTAAAACCAGGATCAGGATCAGAACCAGGATCGGAATCAGGATCAGAACTAAAACCAGGACCAGGATCAGGACCAGGACTAAAACCAGGATCAGGATCAGAACCAGGATCGGAATCAGGATCAGAACTAAAACCAGGACCAGGATCAGGACTAAAACCAGGACCAGGAGCAGGACCAGGATCAGGACCAGGATCAGTACTAAAACCAGGACCAGGATCAGGACTAAAGCCAGGACCAGGACCAGGACCAGGACTCAAACCAGGACCAGGACCAGGACTCAAACCAGGACCAGGACCAGGATCAGGACTAAAACCAGGACCAGGATCAGAACCAGGATCAGGACTCAAACCAGGGCCAGGATCAGGACCAGGATCAGGACTCAAGCCAGGACCAGGACCAGGACCAGGACTCAAACCAGGACCAGGACCAGGATCAGGACTAAAACCAGGACCAGGACCAGGACCAGGATCAGGACTCAAACCAGGACCAGGATCAGAACCAGGATCAGGACTCAAACCAGGACCAGGACCAGGATCAGGACTAAAACCAGGACCAGGATCAAGACCAGGATCAGGACTCAAACCAGAACCAGGATCAGGACTCAAACCAGGAGCAGGACCAGGACCAGGACCAGGACTCAAACCAGGACCAGGATCAGGACCAGGACTCAAACCAGGACCAGGATCAGAACCAGGATCAGGACTCAAACCAGGACCAGGACCAGGACCAGGACTCAAACCAGGACCAGGACCAGGACCAGGACCAGGACCAGGATCAGGACTCAAACCAGGACCAGGACTCAAACCAGGATCAGGACTCAAACCAGGACCAGGACCAGGACTCAAACCAGGACCAGGACCAGGATCAGGACTCAAACCAGGACCAGGACCAGGACCAGGACTCAAACCAGGACCAGGACCAGGACTCAAACCAGGACCAGAACCAGGATCAGGACTCAAACGAGGACCAGGATCAGAACCAGGATCAGGACTCAAACCAGGACCAGGACCAGGATCAGGACTCAAACCAGGACCAGGACCAGGACCAGGACTAAAACCAGGACCAGGACCAGGACCAGGACTAAAACCAGGACCAGGACCAGGATCAGGACTAAAACCAGGACCAGGACCAGGATCAGGACCAGGATCAGTACTAAAACCAGGATCAGGATCAGGACTCAAACCAGGACCAGGACCAGGACCAGGACTAAAGCCAGGACTAAACGAGGCCCGTGCCAAGCGAGGCGGCGGGCTCTGCCAAAGCCTGGATTTATTTGGGACAGGCCGGGGTTCACTCCCAGGTTCCCGCGGGGACGAGCTCAGCCTGTGAAGAGAAACCCAAAATTGGGGACGGTCCCACCCGGACACCCCGGATTGGGATTGGGATTGGGATTGGGATTTGGGATTGGGGCTGGGATTTGGGATTGGGGCTGGGATTTGGACCAGGACTGGGACTGGGATTGGGATTTGGACCAGGACTGGGATCAGGACCAGGATTGGGATTGGGATTGGGACTGGGATTTGGGATTGGGACCAGGACTGGGACTGGGACTGGGATTTGGGTTGGGATCAGGACCAGGACTGGGATTTGGACCAGGATTGGGATTGGGATTTGGGATTGGGACTGGGATTGGGACCGGGATTGGGACCAGGACTGGGATTTGGACCAGGATTGGGATTGGGATTTGGGACTGGGACTGGGATTTGGGACTGGGACTGGGATTTGGACTGGGATCAGGAATGGGACCAGAACCGGGATCAGGATCGGGACCAGAACTGGGACTACGATCAGGACCAGAACCAGGATCAGGTTTAACACTGGTTTAGGCCAGGATTAGGCCAGGTTTAGCCCGAGTTTAGGCCAGGTTTAGCCCTGATTTAGGCTGGGTTTAACCCTGGTTTAGGCCGGGTTTAGCCCGGGTTTAGGCCAGGTTTAGGGCGGGTTTAGGCCGGGTTTAGGCCGGGTTTAGGGCGGGTTTAGCCCAGGTTTAGGCCAGGTTTAGGCCGGGTTTAGGCCAGGTTTAGGCCAGGTTTAGGCCGGGATTAGGGCAGGTTTAGCCCGGGTTTAGCCCAGGTTTAGGCCGGGTTTAGTCCAGGTTTAGGCCAGGTTTAGGCCGGGATTAGGGCAGGTTTAGCCCGGGTTTAGCCCAGGTTTAGGCCGGGTTTAGCCCGGGTTTAGGGCGGGTTTAGGCCGGGTTTAGGCCAGGTTTAGGCCAGGTTTAGGCCGGGTTTAGGGCGGGTTTAGGCCAGGTTTAGGCCGGGTTTAGGCCAGGTTTAGGCCAGGTTTAGGCCGGGTTTAGGGCGGGTTTAGCCCAGGTTTAGGCCGGGTTTAGGCCGGGTTTAGGCCGGGTTTAGGGCGGGTTTAGCCCAGGTTTAGGCCGGGTTTAGGGCGGGTTTAGGCCAGGTTTAGGCCGGGATTAGGGCAGGTTTAGCCCAGGTTTAGGCCGGGTTTAGGCCTGGTTTAGGGCGGGTTTAGGCCAGGTTTAGGCCGGGATTAGGGCAGGTTTAGCCCAGGTTTAGGCCGGGTTTAGGCCGTACCGTGGCGCGCCAGCAGGGCCAGGCCGGCCCCCAGCAGGGCCAGGACCAGGCCCAGGGCCAGCGCGGCTCCGGCCAGCGCCATGTCCAGCTGCTCGTCCAGCGCCGTGTCCGGAGCCACTGCGGACACGGAGACGGTCACCCAAATCACCCCAAATCACCCCAAATCACCCCAAAATACCCCAAAA